GACAAGGTTTTAAGAATGTGTTTATAGATAAGAGATGAAATATGGGAAGAAGAGATCATTTGTTGTATTTTAAGAGGAGGTGACAAGTTACTAAAATTGTTTATAGCTGTCGTGATGAAGGTGGAAGTAATTTCTTTATATATTTCTTTTCTTTTTCTTTCCTATATTCTTATTTTCCTTTCTTTTTTATTTTCCTTTCTATTTTTTAAATTCTTTTATTTTTTTTAGTTTGTATTAGTTTTTATCTTTTTAATTGTAGTGCTTAATAAAATTATTACCAAAACATTGGCATGAAAATGGCTGCCGAGTTGATGGCTGAACCAGCCACGCATGCAAAGAAAACTCGTTCTAGGGCCCTGAGACGTTCCTTAAAGTCAACTAAATCTCTTCATACAGGTGTCTGTCGCACAACCCTGCCTACAGGCCCAATCAAAATCTACTCCTTTCTCTTTCAGAATTCAACCAGACAGTCCAGGGTTCTGGAAATATGACAGAAAAAAGCAGTCAAGATCAGCTGCTGTTTCTCTTTCCAGAATTTAACCAGCAAAACCAGGGTGTGGGCCACATAGACGACTCTTGTGCTGAAACGCCCAGCAAGAAGATGAGGCGCAACCGCTTCAAGTGGGGTCCTGCTTCCCAGCAGATCTTGTACCAGGCCTACGACCGGCAAAAGAACCCCAGCAAGGAAGAAAGGGAAGCGCTGGTAGAGGAATGCAACAGGTAAAAGCTCTGAAACAGAAACGAACAAAACAGCATCTTCCCTTCTGGTGCGTCGAATCAACCAACAGCTTGTTGGCAAAGAGCAGAGCCTTTGTTGTTAAACCAAAACCCCTATTGTGTGAAGGGTCTAGCATGTTCTGGGTCAAAGGGAAAAGAACCTGCTATCCTCACCATCTACCTAGGCAAACAACTCTGTGTGTGTGTGTGTGTGTGTGTCTGTGTGTGTGTGTGTGTGTGTGTGTAAGAGGCCTGCACAGTTTGGGACTGAACCTGCCAACGAGGGAAGCAGAACCTACCCTGGGCATTGTTGCCTCTGTTGGAGACTTAACAAAATCAAGAGAATGACTGCTTCTCTGGTTGACTTGGTTCAACTTGGTGGTCACCATCTGTGCAGGCTTTGGGTAGGTCACAGACAAATGGGCAACCTTCTTGGAGTGGAGACTCATTTGGGGTTTTGAGAACATAAGGTTGTGCGTTATAAGATGACGGCCTGGGAGACTTGCCTGCTCACAACATGATCACCATGGTGGGCACGGGCAGAGACAAGACACCATCTGCTGGAAGATAAACTTCTCCCTACAATGCACTTCACGTGTCACATTCTAAATAGGATTTTTGAGGGGCGCAAGGACATTCTTGTAAATACATATGATACTAGACGCTGGTACTTTGCTTTGTAGCATGCCCTATTTAATTTTTAAATTAAAGGCATATTTAAAAAAAAAAATCAGCTGGAGCAGGGAGTCTGTTGGGTGTCAAGAAAGATGGCAAAGAGGCACATTAGTGGGTGTGGGCCCATATTCCCTTTGTTTAAGATAGAACAGTGTTTCTCAACCTTGGCAACTTTAAGATGTGTGGACTTCAACTCCCAGAATTCCCCAGGCTGGTCCACACATTTTAAAGTTGCCAAGGTCGAGAAACACTGAGATAGAAAATCAGCTTAGCATGTTATAATTGGGCCCAATGAAATAATTGTGTGCTGTCTTCTTAATAAAGTCCCCACTGTCAGTCTCACTGCTCACGTTCTTTCTGTAGACTAGCAACGCCCCCTCCCCACCAGACCTGTTTTAGGTGCCTTAGTTGGAGATCTGTAATACATATGTTGTTAATACATTTATTAGCTAATAATATTCAGTAGTTCCTGAATCAGTAGTCGTAACTGAACAGACTACAGGTAGTCCCTGGGTCAAGAACACCCAGGTTACAGACGACCCATAGTTAAGAACAGAGCCTATTGTAGCAAATTCACGTTAAATACACCATGGTTTGACTTCATTACACGGTACTACTTATACAGTATTATACAATAATACTGTTCCAGCTTACATACAAATTCGACTCAAGGACAGGCCTTGGGAACGGAACTCATTCTTAAAGTGGGGATTACCTGTATTCTTCTGGGTCCTGCAAGAATCTGGGATCCGTCTAAGCATCTATATTGATTTGGTTTAACGCTTTGTATTACCAAGAGATTGCCCTCCCTCCCCAGAGTTAAGTTATCTTTAACTCTGGTGGTGTTAAAGTCACGTTTCCCCCCTTAAGGGCAACACAGGTTTTGCGTGTGTTATAAGAGGATGCTTGGCATAGTGGTTAAAGGCACTGGGCTAGATGTCAGGAGACAGAGTGTTCTAGCCCTGCCTTAGGCAGGAAGTCAGCTGGGGGCCTTTAGGCCAGTTGGTCTCTCTCTCAGCCACAGGGAGAAGGCACCAGGAGCTTGAAGGCACTGCACTCACCAACCATTCTGTGGGTGCCAACATCCAGTGGAGTTCTAGGGGATGGGATCAGCCTGGCATCTATTGGCTATTTTATGCTCCTTTCCGAGTCCTGCAAGCTACCTTCCAGGCAGTTCTGGAAGTGGGAAAGTCAGCTGTCTCTCTCCATAACATGGGATGGTGCCAGAGGAGGAGGTGAGTTTTGATAGAGAGCTGGACCAGCATAGAGTTTATTGCTATTCTAGCATTACAGGTAGTCCTCATTTAGCGACCAGAATTGGGACCAGCAACTCGGTTGTTAAGCAAAGTGGTCACTAAGTGAAACTGCAACTATGCTTATGATCTAACTTCAGCTTTCCTTTGCTTTACAAACCTGCAAAGGCCGTAAATGCAAGGATTGGTTGTAAAGTTAATTTTTTATCACCGTCTTAACTGTGAACAGTCACTAAACAAGGCAGTCACTAAATGAGGACTACCTGTATTCCAGAATAGCCCTAAACCCATGTCCAATGAGAACTTAACTATCATTCTTAGTTTTAAATCAGATTTTTGTCCTGTACTCAGGAAAACTCCAGCTCTGAAAACTGGATATGCTTAAACAGCAGCTAAGTAGCAATGGTGATGGGTGGAATGCACATCTGGGGTATGTGTGGGGGTCCTGCTTCATGGCACAACTCTCCATGAACCTGTCAGCTCTTATGCCTACTGCTTCTGAGCATGGGTTTAGTCCCCTTGTGGAATAGGCTGGGTTCGTTTGGGATGCAGAAGCAGTTTAGTACTATAGTTGATATCAAAACTCACCCTGATGTTGCACAGCTGTATTCAAACAGAGCTGAAAGTCAAATCCCCTTTGGATACTGGTTTAGCCTTTAGCACTATTCCCAGAATAGCAATAAAGCCTATGCCAGTCTAGCCCTCTATCAAAATTCACTTCCAGCTCTATCCCATGTTAAGGAGAATGACGGAGAGCTGCTTGCCACCTGGCTGGTGATGTTTGGTGAGAAAGGAAGGGAACAAAACCAACAGAATCCATCAATCCATGTCCTTAATGTGTGCTATACAGTATAAATAAGAACAGTATAATTTGCATGCTTCATGCCTATGGCAGGGTAGGGATCACCTGTGGGTGAGCAGATTTTATGCTGATGTAATTTTCTAATTAATATCCATGAGGAAGGGCCCCAGATCACCAAACAAGAAATCACTTAACCCAGCTCACCTAGAAAGAACAGTGCTGCATAGCTCTGCGATAAAAAACAAAAACAAAAAACCAAGTATTAACCAATAACGGACCAAATAGAATTAAGCCAACAGGAATCAACCTTTACCAAAAGCCTTTCTTAACACAATTTTCAAAGTTTCTTTTCCACATTAGCTTTTCAATTATAGTAGTCCTTGACTTATGATCACAATAGGGACCGGAACTTCCATTGCTAAGCAATGTGGTCATTAAGTGAGTCATGCCTGATTTTACAACCTTTTTTGCTGTGGTCATTAAGCAAATCTGGCTTCCCCCATTGACTTTGCTTGTCAGAAGCCCCCTGGGAAGGTTGCAAATGCTGATCACATGACCCCAGGATTCTGCAACTGTTGTAAATACATGCCAGTTGCCAAGCACCTGAATTTTGATAATGTGATCACGGGGATATTGCGACAGTTGTAAGTATGAAGACCAGTCATAAATCACTTTATCAGTGCTGTCATAACTTTGAACGGTCGCTAAATGAATGCTCATAAGTCAAGGACTACCTGTACAGTATTTCTCCCATTTTCTTATACTTCTTCTCTATGTTATATTGAGGACCTTCGTGCATCTCAACAGAACTTCACTGAGGTGTCTAGATATAATCTTCTGTATTTTCAGATGACATCTGCACCCATCCTTGCAGAGACATGATAGTTCTGTATTCCCCATAACAGCTTTTGAAATCTGCCCAAGATACAGATGTTTATCATCAGCCCACCCTATCCCATTCCATCACCAAATACTCTTTCTCTTATCTGGCCTAGCTTTCCTTTGTATCACCATACCTCCTTCATCATTTCATATCCTGTTTATTTCTTATACATCCTTTTTTCACTACCTCCCCAAGATGGTTTGCAACAACTATAGACTAGAGTTCATATGCAGTGTAAAGTCAGAAGTTGTAATAAAAATAGTCCAGTACGAAAACGAAGAAGATAGTAGCTAGGAACATCCAAGGTGTACAACCGAACCAACCATACTTCTGTCTCATATCTCATCCCTAAAAACCAGCAATGAAAGAGAAGTACACATCTTGAGTAGGAGATCATTCTACATCTTAGAGCAACTGATTGAAAGGTCTTGCTTTAAAAGAAACAACTGATGTACCATAAACTAAGTCCAGGGTCTGATTAAATGGATTTGATCAGCTTTGATTAAGGTTCCATGCCTTTAACAAAGCACATTTTAGGGGCATCTGCAGGGGGAGTCAAAAATGTCAAGACGGTGCCCACAACCATGCAGTTGACCCCCCCCCTTTAATATGTGTCACCACGCACATAAAAAAGGCATGAACTTCCACTGCCTGGTTGAAACTGCCATCTTAACTTTTTTTACCATTCCTGTAGAAGGCCTTACAAGTTCCAATTCACAAATGATTTGGCTACAATCTGTTTGAGATACCACTCAAGTTTTCCGGGTGTTATTTTTTAGTTTCATTTTTAAAAATAAAACCCCTAATCTGCTGTTGCTTGATAAAACAATCCGGGTGCAAGGATACCAAAACAATCCAAACGGTGGAGGATAAAAAATGCTTTAGAGTTAAACCCTCTCAGACATATCCCACCTCTTTAGAAAGGATAAAGTTTAAACACCCACAAGACAGGACTGAATCAACAGCACACAAAGCAGAGTGTAAATTAAACTCCACACCTTGGTGGACAAACCTATTCCTGAGAGGTTCAAGGAATATAGCAGGCAGGAAGAAAAAAAATGCCTTGGCTACCTTCTGAAATTTATTGCAATATTGGTCTTTTTGTGACTTCTGCAGTGCTTCAGACTCAAAAGAAATTCAGTCGTGTGTTAGATGCATAAATGTGAATGCCACAGCCAAACTGTTGCAAATCAAACAACTGAGGCAACATTGCTAATTTCCCCTGTGATGCTAGAGTTAATCTGTAACTTGCAATATTTATTTGCAACAATAAATCATTAACATATTTTAATTAGCTTAATGTTCTCAGGGTCAAATGAGACTAGGGGTGCACAACCCACTTAGACTGGGTGGTTTGCAGTTTAGCGTATTGTGGGAATCTGGCCATTATTTGAGCCTGTGGTTAAACCCTAATATGGGTATCACCTCTTAGGTGAACACACAACTGGGTTTTGCTAACTTGGACTTGGGGTTTAGCATGGTGGGTGAGGTCAGCCACTGCACACCTCATAGCCACAGCATATGCTCTTTTTTTTTTACTTTTTAAATTTATCCCCTTAATTTCCTGATTTTTCTGCCACCCAACCAGACTGAAAAATCAGGTGTCTGGCAGCACCTTTTTTGACTAACAAATTTTATATATAAAAAGAAAGCTTTGGGGAGTTGCAAGTACAAGAGGCAGTTGCTAGAAAACATTACGGTGCAGAGCACCTCTGTTCAAGCTTCCAGTTACTCCCCTTCATTCTCTCTTGCTGATGTTCTTTTTCCTGCTTCCTAATAGTCTGCATTCTTTGTCCAATGAGATGTTCATTGATTTGGAACTTCCCTTCTCCCCTTTAGTTCCCCCCCCTAAAGATATTGTTGTTTTTCTTCAAACATTGTGGCTCTGCTATCCCTAGCCAGCTTCTGAGATTTCCCTTCTTGTTTCGGTGATTGATGAAGAAAGAGATCTTGGAGTAATGGTAAACAGTTCAGTGAAGGTGTCAACCCAGGGTGCATCCACTGTAAAGATAGCCAACAGCATGCTTTTTAATTAAATTCATTAGTTAGCTTTTTTACCTCCATAGACTACCACATCTCTCCTTCTACAATGTCTCACCACACTAAGAATTCTAGAGAACCTGACAGTCAGTGTGGTCCTACAAACTTTCAGTTTCAACTAGAAAACTGAGCATTAAATTAAAATTAATTACTAAATTAATAATAACTAAATTACTAGGCTTTTCCCAAGTAATCTTGAGAGCTGTGCTTTAATGAAGTACCATGACTTATTTAAACAAAATAAATGTTAGCTCACCTGCCTCAGCTACGGATTGGGGATGAGATGAAGCCAGTGTAATGAGGACACATCATGTAAAAATAGTTACCGAATTCTGTTACTGCAGCCAGGGTGATGTAAGGACAAACCTTTAGTGATAGGGTATATCCTTTGCATGCAGAGAATTCCTAATTTGATGCCTACTTTCTTTTTTTTAGATTTCTCTTTTTTGGCGAGAGATCATAGAGAGTTGCTGCAAATCAGAATAACAACATTGAGTTAGCTAGACAAATTGCTTAGCCTGGTAATAGTCTTAGCAAGTTCTTCTCCTGTATTAGCCCAACATCCCATTCCAACCAACCCTTTTCTAGGAATCTTCTTAATTTTCTCCTCTAGGGCAGAATGCCTCCAGCGAGGTGTGTCACCTTCTAAAGCACACGGCTTGGGTTCAAATTTGGTCACAGAAGTCCGCGTCTACAACTGGTTTGCAAACCGAAGGAAAGAGGAAGCTTTTCGGCAGAAACTAGCCATGGATGCCTACAGTACGGGGCAGCCTCACACCATGAACCTCTTGCTGTCCCATAGTTCACCTCACCATGCTCAACCCAGCTCTTCTCCGCCCAGCAAAATGCCAGGTAAGTCAAAACTAGAATCTCCTGTATCCAAAAGAGGTCAAACGTGGTTACCATTTTACAAGTGGCAGCTGCTAGAAAACATTATGGTGTGGAGCGCTTCTGTTCAAGCTTCCAGTTACTCCTCTTCATTCTCTCTTGCTGATGTTCGTTTTCCTGCTTCCTAATAGTCTGCATTCTGTGTCCAATGAGATGTTCACCGATTTGGAACCTCCCTTTTCCCCTTTAGTATTTCCCCCTAAAGATATTGTTGTTTTTCTTCAAACATTGTGGCTCTGCTGTCCCCAGCCAGCTTCTGACTTTTCCCTTCTTGTTTCGGTGATTGATGAAGAAAGAGATCTTGGAATAATGGTAAACCGTTCAATGAAGGTGTCAACCCAGGGTGCATCCACTGTAAAAATAGCCATCGGCATGTTAGGGGGAGAATAAGAAACAGTATTGAAAATAGAGATGCCACTATCATAATGTCCTTACGCGGTATGACTGCATCTGGAATATTGTGTGTGATTCTGGTTGCTGCAGCTCCAGAAGGAGATAGTGGAGCTAGAGAAGTTTCAGAGGAGGGCAACTAAGATGATCAAAGGGCTAGAACAGCTTCCCTATGAGGAAAGGTTGTGACATTTAAGGTTTTTAGTCTAGAAAGGAGGCAAACGAGAGGGGCCATGATGGAGGTGTACAAAATTATGCATGGTGTGGATAAAGTGGACAAGGAGAAACTATTTTCCTCTTCCCAAAATACTAGAATCAGAGGTCACCCAATACATTGAATCCTGGAAGAATCAGGACAGACACAAGGAAATGTTTTTTTTTGTACAGTGTGTAATTAAATTTTGGAATTTGCTACAGTGAGAAGTGTTAGCTACTAGCTTCGTTGGCTTCAAAGAGGGTTGGACTAATTTATGGAAGTTCAGGGGTTATTAGCCTTGATGGCGTGGGACTGCCTCTGAAGGCCACTGGGAGACTAGTGGACTTCCTGGTGCAGTTGGTTGGCCACAGTGAGCACAGACTGCTGGACGAGATGGGCTAGGGGTCCAGTCCAGCAGGCCATGGCTTCAGTTCTTATGACTGGGTAAAACCATTTATTCATTAAGCAACAGAGCTTACAAACCCAAGCATTGGAAATAGAGGGAATGAAAGACTTTTAAAACAGTGCTGTCAGGACACGTTTATTTTTCCTTATTTATTTATTTATTTTGTAGTACTTTTATACCACCCACTGCAGTTAAACTCCCAGCAATTTGCAAAATATAAAAAAGTGAGGATGGAAAATAACCCAAACAGAAACAATACAATATGATGGTCACCCATATAGTCACCTAAATCATCTAAACCCCAAATACCTGTTCAGTTAAGCTGGGTTGATTTCCTGCAGATGTTTCATTACCAGGCTAAGTAACATCATCAGTTGTGGTGTTATACTGATGATGTTACCTAGTCTGGTAATGAAACATCTGCAGGAAATCAACCAAGCTCAAAGAATACCAAGAACCCAACAGTTCAACCCTGACCTACAGAAGGTCTCTACAGTGTTGAAATAACTGTTTTAACTAACTTGTAGAAAGTAAGAGGGAGGTTGCTAGGTGAATCTCCAGGGGTAAGATTTCCAAAGCATGGGGGCCACCACAGAGAAGGACCGCCATCAAGTCCATGGTACTTTGTATTCAGCTGAAATAGGATATTGGCAACCCCTCCTTCCATGCATACCTGAGGATGAACACCATGAGAGTAATTAAAAAAAAAAAAGCAGATAGTTCCTGTCTACACTCATTTTACAACCCAAACAATGGGGAAATAAGAAAGAACAGAGAATACAACTTGGTTTGCATTGTTATTTCTTTGTAATGATTATTTATCTTGTTATCTCCCACTTTCAAGGAGCTTAGTGACATGTATTGTCTTCCACTCTATTTCATCCTATGACAGCTCGGTGAGGTGCACTGGCCCTCTTCCCACAACACACACACAATCCAGTCATCCCCTAACCAGCCACACTTCCTTCCTGCTGGTTGTGACAGCACACAATCACACACACCAAGCAAAAAACCACAATTCTGGAAATAAAAGCCCTCCACTTCTAGGAAATGCCTACTGTTAAGGCTGTAGGCTACAAACACCTAAGCAATCAAAACTGATAGTGAGAATTATGAGTTTTCCAGATCTCTTTGCTGCCATCTAGTGATTCTCTGGATTTTTGTAGCTCTGCCTGGTATCTAGTGAGCCAGGAGACTCCTGGTAAGACTTCGTGATGTCACTAGCCCCATCCTTGTTGGCCAAGCAGCAGCAGTGAGTGGCACTTGGCCACTGCAGCCAGTCAGGGTTAGGTACAGTCCTGGTACAGGTGTCATCTGGACCTGTTCTTCATCTCTTACTCTTTTGACAGTGTAGACCAGAGTTTTCTCAACCTTGGCAGCTTGAAGATGCGTGGACTTCAAATCCCAGAATTCCCCAGCCAGCAAGGCTGGCTGGGGAATTCTGGGATTTGAAGTCCACGCATCTTCAAGCTGCCAAAGTTGAGAAACACTGGTTTAGAGAAACCAGTGGGCTATGCTGCAATGTATCTTCCCTCCCTTCGGCCAACCAGTCATGCTCCCTGAAGAGGGCTGTTCTTCCCCCTTCTCCAATTTTCCCCAAGTGACTCCAGTTTCTGGGACAATTTAAATGCAGTTCAATCCTCAGTGAGAGTTGGCCTCTTCAGAGTTTGTTTCTTGGTAATTTGCACTGTGATTATATTTCTGTCATCCTATTTATCAACCACCTGAGTTCACCGTTCCAGGGAGTGGTAGTGCCCCTTTCCATGAAGGTTTCATTGAACTAGGATTAGTAAAGTGCTCCCCTCCTCCATATTCAGATTGTGCAAGAGAACAGGGGCAGTTGACTTGTGTTTAAGATGCTGTTACTTCTCGCTGATATGCTACTGATTGCCGAAATGTTCATTTCTGCTGCGGACATTGGCTGAAGCATTTAAATACAGTGGTACCTCTAGTGACGAATTTAATCCGTTCCGTGACTCTGGTTGCAACTCGAGTTGGTTGCAACTCGAGGTAAAGTTTCCCATAAGGTTCAATGTAAATACGGTTAATCCGTTGCACCCTCCAAATTTGGTCGCACCCCGAGTTAAATTTCCCCCATAAGGTTCAATGTAAATACGGCTAAACAGTTCTGAAACATATGC